AAGAACGTCGAATCTGAATCACTTGAAAAAAACACGGGGGTGCTTAACTTTTTTCCAGGTGTATATTTAAATTTTTGAAAAATTAAACTATTAATTTTCACTACGAACCCAAGCAAGTCATAGCAGCCTGAAGACTTTATAAAGATGAAAGAACAGGTTGATGGTCACAAACAGATATTTAAGATTTAGAAAATGTTATGTGATGTTAAAGGACATTACAATGACAAATATTTCATCTCAAGAGTTTGAGATGAATTTCATCTCAAGCTCATGGCCAGGCAGTGAAGTAACCTGCACAAGCTACGAGTTGTGTAACAGGCACTAAGAGCAAGCCTCATAATGTAATAGTCTTGAACTGCAGCATGGTTTTCTGTGAACCAGTACACATTACAATAGTTACTGAACACCAGACTGTCACAAAAAATCCATACATCAAATGTAATTATGTGCGAGAAATGTGTATGGCATTTATAAATGAGTAATTTACATAAGATTTTGTACAAATGCAATGTCTTCTTACAGGCTGTGTATGTTCACTGAATCTTCTGAAGATGAGGACAGCCATGATTAGAATGGTGATAGTGGTTAACCTTGAGAAGATAGAAAACCACTAGAACAAAAGCCTCAGCAAATGAGTTCTGAGATCAAACCTTACAGATCCCTATATTTTATTCCATCTTTTCAAAATTTTCAAATCCCAGGTGTAACCTAGTTTGTACCAAAAAATTACACGGTTGGTCTTTTTGACTTGTTAAAACTATCAAAAAACCTTTTTCTAGTGCTTCTTGATACAGATGACAAAATTAATAAAGAAAATTGAAAGCCAAATGTATATTAAATAAATTTTTACTTTTTGATATATTTAGTATATTTTGTTTTGTAGCTGTATGTAAGTGTTGTGGCTTTATTGTGCCTTGGAATGAACATAAGAGCTAACTCCATTGTAATAAACTTGTTATTTTTGTCTGTTTGTTTTGATTTAGTATATATCCCTTGGTTGATGAAAGCAGCTTGATGCATATTGCTATGTCCAGTAACACTGGTTCTCTGCCAGATTTAACCAACCTACAGTTTCCTTCTCCCCTTGCCACACCAATTGACATTGAGGATCATACAGGAACACTAATCACCTCTCCCTACAACTCAAGAAGCTCACCACAAACTATGTCTGGGAACCTCTCCTCAACCTTGTCTCCAACTCAGCAACACACTCATGCTATTGGTATGTGTACGTTTACTAGATTGCATAACCAATAGCATGAGCGTAGATTGCATAATACACATAGTGTTTCTTTTATTGCCTGCTCAAATTATCCTTAATATGTGGAAAGTAACATTAAGTAATTACCATCTATTTCTTAGGTGCTCAAAGATCCCTGAAAAGATGGTACAGAAAATATCATGTACTTTTCAAGATTATGTAAAATAAATGGCTGTAATATAACTAGCAAGTTATGAATATAAACAGTATGTAATTTACTTATTACTTAGAAAAATTTAGCCAAGAATTTTCTGTTCTCGGTTAAGGCTTTTCTCATATGTGTATTTATTTTAACAGGAATGCATAAAAGTTGTGAAAGTTAATGTGTTTTCTGACTCCCTTGACTGTATGTATGTGTGCTGAAGGATTATATTAAGCTTTTCTGTTGTCATTGCAGATTCCCTATTTTTTAATCTTTAAAATTTATTAGGTTTTACTACAGTTAAGAGGTAAGTTTTATGTTTCTTGTGTATAAATTTACGTGTATGTATGTATTTCATCAATAGAAACTGGATTGAGTGAAGTGGGTCTAACCCCTCTAACTCCTGTTGTTGGACACAGCGGAGATCGAGGGGGAAGCCGTCATTCTAGTCCTGGTCCATCTCCTTCACCCTCATCACGACATCGTCATCATCATAATCAAAATATATTGGTGATTGGTGGTGGTAGTTCTAGAAGTCGAGGACATCAGCACGTTTCTCATACATTGAAACAACAAGTAGGTTATAATCGACCTACAAGACTTGACCAGGTTCAAATGACAGTGGAGGTAGGGTAACCACCAGGATCCTAGTAGTACCTGTAGTTGATAATAAATCTACATAATTAAATCTTTGAAGATGTTTTGATCTTCTTATAAAAGAAAAAGTAAAGAAGTTTGCATCTTTCTTATGTAAGAGTTTTAAAAAATAATGTGCTGTTTATGGTTTCGTAGTTGTTATATTTTAAAGATATTGGTTGCTGAATCTAATAAAATAGGTTTCATGCCGTCTTGTTAAAACTTGCATGATAGTATTGCCATGTGCCTCTAAATGCATGAAAATGAATGAATGTTTTTTTTTTCAGTGTCATGCTTTTATCTTTCTTGTCAATGCCATTTAGGAATGATAACATTGTTAGTGATCATGTAAAAAGAACAAAGAAAAGGTCTCCTTATATTGATTGTATACTGAGTTACTTGTATGTACATTCAACACATATGTAGTTGTTTACTTTATGAATATGTGTTGTGTTATCTAAAGATATAGTTTTGTTTTATTAATTAGAAATTGTTGAATATGGGTTTTGTAATTAAAAAAAGTTTGATAAGGTTAAACTATTTTCACAAGCATCTTGTTATTTGCTGGTACAAGGATGGTCATTTTCTTTGACAGTAGTAAATGTTTTGTATATTTCTTACACTTTTGAGCCAATATTAAACTTAAGATAGCAAAAAAGTATGGAAAAAAATAAAGCACTTACATACATGTAATTAAAGACTATATGTCCTAAAATTATAAAGCACCATATTTATAAATTAATGAAGATTTATATAAGCAGTATTCATAAACTCTTGAGCTAATTTATTTATGTAAATAACCAATGCACCAACAGTTTTCTTTGCAGATTGCTCTATGTTGTACAATTCTGGAGAGTGAAGCAATTACTGCTTAATTTTATCAATTTCACGTAATACAAATTTTTATTGTTGAAAATCTAGAGTTTTAGGGTCCCCTTAACTATTGGTTCTCATCACATCATCCACACTTGACTGGTATATAAACAGTTTCCCAGATGTTAAGATACTGTGTAATGCACAGAGGTAGCAGAAACTCTATCTAATTGCTAAATATTGTTATTTAAGTTTCAAGTTAAGAAAAAGCTGAACTTTGATGTTTAATATCAACTGCAGTACACGTATGAATCAAGCTTTAAACTGTTCTTTACTGTCCAAAGACACTAATGGAGATAGAAGAAATGCTTAAGATGTTCTGTAAATGTAAAAACATATCCTTTAAAAATGGGTCTTGTATAATTAATGATTTAATGACTAGACGTTTGCAGTCTATATTAATATAAGTTTAATAATAAGGAGTATTAAGAAGTTGCATTTGAATAATAATAACATGCTTAAGCTATATCAAAGGCCACATACATTTAAGGAAAGAATATTCCCCTACAAATCATTACGTGAAAGTTTCCACTTGAATTCATGATTCTGTCATTATTATTTTTGAAGCATGATTGGTCAGTCAAGCTTTTTAAAACTACTCACACATGAGTAATTTGTATTTTTTCTAAAACACATAGTGCAACCAGTTAATATTAGTGTATAATATAAATACAATGCTTTAGCCTTAAGATCAGTATTTTGGCATCTTTGCTGTTTTTGTATTTTTAATATAATGCTTCTTGTGTAGCAAACAATTTTTACATTGTAAAGTAGTGTAGTTGTTTTCAGCAACATGTAGCCCTCTTGCATATTTATAAACAATTTATATTTTCTTGAAAGTGATGCACCAGTTTAAATATGTAACAAACCAAGTTTAACTGCAGGTATGTTGTTCCTCATGATAGTATTTTCCTTTAGTTTTGTTGCCATTATGAAATTTTAATATACATTGTTACACATCTAATAGCTTGTTTTTTTTATAATTTGATCATTTTAGGGAGAGATAGGGTGAATACTGGAGATCGGTAATTGAATGCGAATAATTCATATTTTTATGAATATGAATATGAAAACAAATACAGGAAAAATGCTAAGTATTCGAATATGAATACATACTAATGTATTCATGAATACTTTGTCAAGTAATGTGCAATAATGATAAAATAGCAGATGATAAGATTTCAATACTTTATTTTGTGAAACAAATGTTTTGGAAACTGAAACAAAATCTGAACAAATAATAACATTTCAATACTTTCATTTTTCAAAATGCAATAACAAATTTTAGAACAAAAAACATTATATTATAACTGTCCATTGTTCTTTATGAACATCAGTTTCTCAAATATCATGTCAGTGAGGTGGCAGTGATCAGGTCTGAGGGTTTTGCCTATGATGCTAAACAAACATTCAGTAGGGGCAGAGGATGCTAGAACACTCAGATAGTGTTTGGCTAGTAGAGATGAGGTAGAAAAGAGTTTTTCATGGATCTTCCAATAATTTAGAGGGTTGCTTTCTTCAGAAATGCATGGACCATTGAGGTATTTTTGTATTTTCTGAAGATGACGTGGCTAATTTCTTGGAGGCAGCAAAGAAACCAAAAAGCTTATTTCTTTTGCAAGAAGGGGGGATTTACAATCTTCTTTTAGTTCCATGGCTGTAGGATTATTTGTTGAGGAAATTTTCTTGACATTTTGCTGCAGGAGCATTCAATTGGATTTGTAGACTATAGGTCTAGTGAAACACCAATCAAATTTAAATTTGGGACCCAATGCTGCAGCCAAGTAGAAGATATTTCGTTGCTCATACTGAGTCATCTGGGTATGAACAGATTTGTTCAGTGCAGAGACAAGATTGAAATTATATCTAGACTGCATGTTGTCAACCTCATTCATCAGCCCATAAACACATAGGAATACATAACTGGAGGCAACAATTTCTGACCCTGGATAAAATCTGTTGCTTCTTCAAAAGGTGTCAGTATTGTCACCAAATCTGCAACCACAGTTCGATCATGAAAAGTAAGTTTCGATGTACTAGTATCTAGATTATTCAACTTCTCCTGGGGAATTGTTAATAAAGACTTCATCCTCTTAATTTCCGAGTTCCATCATATTGGTGTTACTGACTAAACTCTGGCCTCTCCCTCAAGTACATTAGTTACTTGCACTGATTTTCAAATGTAGTACACAATGGCTAATACTTTGGAAATTACTTTCATCAGTAGTCCATCTTTTTTCATGCAATCCCTGACCACAATCTGTAGCATGTGGGAAAAGCAGGGTTTATGTTCAAGAATAAATTCAGATAAATTGTCTGCTAATTTAGATTCAACCAAAAGTTCATATTCTGAGTCACTATCTTTAGATGAGCTATCACCATATCTCATACTAGGTTTTTGAGTCACTATCTGTAGATGAGCTATCACCATCTTTCATACTAGGTTTCTGAGTCACTATCTTTAGATGAGCTATCACCATATCTCATACTAGATTTCTGAGTCACTATCTGTAGATGAGCTATCACCATCTCTCATACTAGGTTTCTGAGTCACTATCTGTAGATGAGCTATCACCATCTCTCATACTAGGTTTCTGAGTCACTATCTGCAGATGAGTTATCACCATCTCTCACACTAGGTAGTACTCTTGATTCAAATACAGGCAAGCAGAAATCTATGATCATGTTGGATGTGTTATCAGATGTCACACGTGATACCTTGTTGTTGATATTAGAGATTTATTATTTCATCATATTGAGCACCAATGTTATTTAGGTGTGTGATGCCCCTTGAAATGCCGACATGCCAGCATGACTGTTTACATTTTCCAATCAAGTATAAAATGACCAGTGACTCCAAGAAAGCTGCACATTTGTCTGCTACAACAGATATCCACAATGACATTGATGTTGGATACAGTAGAGAGATGATTGTTTGTTGGACTTCATCAGACTTGCTCTCAATGAACATTGTGGACAGATGCTTGTGACTGGGAAGAATATACCGAAAATCCATGACTGTCATTAGATCTTGAAAATCTTTTGACTTCACCACTAAGAAGGGTTGCAGTTTAACAGCAATAAAATTGATGAGTTTGTTAATGATGTGCTTCTGATGAGGGTGTCAATAGAGTTATATTTAGTGTATTCTGAACCATACACTGCTATTGTAGGCTGCTGCACCTGGATGGCAGTACCAGAGCCAGATGTAGACTTCTGTAGCTATGCCTCATGATTATGCTAGAAATAAAAAAACATATCTCAGTTATATATAATATAGAATATATTTTATAATAAAATGATAAAAAAACATATAATAGTAAATAAAAATGATGAATATAGTTCAAAACACGAGACATTTAGTTTAGTTATAGAATATAGTTTATAATAATAAAAAAGATCATAATAAATAAATATAACAGTTATATAATATAGATTATAGTTTATAATAAAAAAAATCAAAACTTATAATACAAAATAAAATAATAAGAAATATAGTTTAGCATGCATTAGAAATTTAGTTTATCTGTATAATTTACATGGAATATAGTTCATATTAAGAAAAATAATAAAAAGGCTTACCTTCAGATGCATCAGTAGGTTAGAAGCAGTTTTTTTAAAGTAGGAATAGTCTGCTCATAATACTTACACTCTGCCTTGATGTGACCAGATCTAGCAGTAAGAAATATGAAGTGTTCACGTACCACTAAGGGCAGTTTTGTAGCCATATCAAATTCTCTAAAGTTACTTGACTGGATTAATAACTATTTAATACAATAATTTTAAGGTGGTTGGAGAGTATTGACCTGACTTAACTCTCTCTCGTCATGGTCTTCCTTTATTGTGCATGTCAAAATGTTTTCTAGTAAGTTACATTGAAAATTTAATTAAACTACTTTTTGTTCATGTTATACCATTAGTATAGCATAAAATCATAGCTAATAATTCATATTTTAATAGTATATAAGTTTTAAGTTCTTAATTTTATAAGGTAATATTTAAAAAAATCCAGAAGCATCCCTTCTTTTTTTTAATTTATTTACCATTCCCTCCAAGAAGTATGAAATGTAACTTTAAGTACTCATTATAATATTGTCAATGCTGAGGGAAGTATAATT